CATATATATATATATATATTGGAGAAAGTTAAAGGCAGATATATATATATATGTATATATATTCGAAAAAGTTAAAGGCAGATATATATATATATACATGTATATATACTGGAGAAAGTTAAAGGCAGATATATATATATATATATATATGTATATATATTGGAGAAAGTTAAAGCCAGATATGTTTGTGTTTAAGGTTAGACTTCTCAAACAGATTGATGCGAAATGCAAGATGATGATGATATATATATATATATGATATTTTTCCCTACAGGGTTTGCTTATTTACAAAGGAACAACATTCCAAACATTATAAATTCCCTTATCTTCTGTCCTGCAGCTGAAAGCTGTAGTTTCAATTATCTGGGTGAAAAAAAACGAAATAAAATGTAACTTTATGTGATATTTCTTTATTACTACAAAGGAATTATGATTCTATATCTTTTACCAGTCTTTTTGAGGATGTGTTATAGTTTTTGTTTTGTTCTAGCTGTCATTTGTGAGATGATACTTTAGTTCAGTACAACGAAACTATGTTGAATATCTCTCTTTAAAAATGGCGGTGATATACAATATTTGTTATATCTCACATGCTAAGCCTTTGTCGTATGTTGTACGGAGCTGGAAGTTATTCATCCGTATAGTTTATTTATGTTATTTTATAACTGGGCAACATATTCTAAAATTTGTCAGCGAACAGGAATGATTTTATAGATCCATTCAGTAACAGGTGTTTCTACGGTCTTTAATTAACCTACTTGACAACACATAAGACCTATAAATTGATTTGAAACATATTAAATTTTCAAAAGTTGTAAAATTTTAACGTTTTCCTGCTTACAAATGTTTATACTTTATTGCGTTTTTCTGTTTATCACAGTTGTTTGTTACCGAAGAATTGCAGTTGATCTAGTGGGAAAATGGCGAATGTAAATATGTTCGTATTCATTGTTTGTTATGACGTCTAGCGTGTGTAATTCAAATTTAAGAAACAACAACTTAGTTTTCCTTTGAATTTTTATGGCACCTTATCTAACTAACTTATATGTCTTACAACTGAGTTTTATTGTTTTGTTATTTAACAATGAGAACTGTTGTGTTAAAGATATCACATAGATAGAAAACAAAAACACCACGTGGGTAGGAAATTAAAATATAACGAGAATATCAAATTCAAAAGACTACGCAGTTAGGAAACCCAAGATATCATGTGAAGAGCAAATCTAAGATATTTCTAGCGTAGGAATAAAAAAGATCCCGTTGGTAGGGAGTCAACAGGAGTTTGGAACTCCAACTGTCACTTGAGATGAAACAACAATAATTAAAAATAACACAAGAAAAAATACGCGTGAGGACAAAGTCCAAGTAATCGTGAATTAAAAATTCAAAATTAAGATCACAAATATACAAAAATCTAATATAATTTCTGGGTAAAAAAAAATACCAGCTATTATGTCGATAGGTTATCGGTAAGTCATTTGTATTGGAATTTGAAAATAATTCTAAAAAAAAAAACGCCATGTCGATGACGTATCCAAATACAGACTAGGTGGGTATAAAGGTTAAGACAAGACATGGAGAATAAAACTAACAGACCATCTAAGTTGAAATTAGAAGGCAGAAGTGGTGTGGAAAACTAATAGACCAGCTACGTAAGAAAGTTAATTACGAGCACATATCTCTCTTGTACTATTTTTAGTGGACGTTAATCTGCAGTAAAAAGATAAGGATTTAAAACTTGTCCCTTACACCATAACAATGTGCATAACAACCAGAATACACACTATTTTCGTGCAAAAACCTCATTATACATTTTATACATAAGAACTGGAATGCACACCCTATACACAACAACCTAAATGCACAATTTCTACACAAGTACATGAAAACACCATTTAAATGTAATAACTCGTTGTATTCTTTGTACATAGCACACTTAATGGCGTAAAACAGGGTGATTATGGACTAATTTACTTCGACTAATCTTGTTAACTTCAAATGAACTGTTGCTTGGATTATCACAGTATTTCTATGATATTAACTTTAGTACCTAAACTTTTGGTGAAACACAACACTACTTTCGTAGATTGGAGCAGTTTGATTTTTATCATATCTATATTATAACTTCACACCTGTTTACCTCGTTCAAACACAACACTACTTTCATAGATTGAAGCAGTTTGATTTTGATCATATCTATATTATAACTTCACACCTGTTTACCTCTTTCAAACACAACACTACTTTCATAGATTGAAGCAGTTTGATTTTGATCATATCTATATTATAACTTCACACCTGTTTACCTCGTTCAAACACAACACTACTTTCATAGATTGGAGCAGTTTGATTTTTATCATATCTATATTATAACTTCACACCTGTTTACCTCTTTCAAAACCTTTGATGTATTGTAGGTGTTGACTATGAAGTGATTAGGGACAATTAACAAATTTAAAAAACAATATCCTGGACCTGATGATGTTCCTATGAGGTCCAGTTGGATTACGTTATTGAGCTACAATTTGGCCACCTATACACCTGTTTTATTTAGAGCTATAGAAGTGTCGCTGGTTTGGTAAATATGTCCTAAATCGCCCCATATAGCATGGTGCAAGATGATAGGCTTACAAACCTAAGAAAAAAAAGGGACTTTGAAGGCCTACAAGTTTTCTTGTCTCTCCTAATTAGCTTCTTAGAAATGTTGTGGTTAAGAAGTTACTTTCTTGTTTGGTATTAATTGCTTATCTTCCATTTCGACAGAAGTTATTCTTTTCTGTTATGACATATCTTTGGAATGTTTTTTTTTTTTAATGATAATGTTCATCAGAATCCTACATTATTACTTGG